CCCAAACTAGGGAATGTCCAGTATCCCAGTAACTGATTAGTGTTATCCAAGGACACCAGAAATTGCTCTTTGTAAACAGAGCAGAGCACAGGAAAGGATTTGAGAGGGGGATATGAGGTTTGTTTGGCTCCTGGTGTTGGGGTGTGTGGTTTGAGATTTCCACTCCATCTTACTACTTCTTTTTCTCCAGTATAAAAGCAGTGGCGGCACCAGAAAAAAATTCTTGGAGGGCACAGAAAAGGGCAAATTATATTTCCAGGTGGGTGAGAGAGAAAAATGACGGCTTATGTCAGTGACAGGAGTTCAGCATTCAGGACACTTGCCCCTCTGCCCCCTTTGGGCTCCCTCTGTGTTTTAAGGTGGCAGAAACTCAAGGGCATAGCATCTGCTTTGCACACAAAAGAACCCAAATTCAATCTCCAGCAGCATCCCCAGGGAGGTCTGGGAATGTCCATGTGCCTGAATCCATGGAGCACTGCTGCCAGGCGCTGTAAAGGTAAAGGGACCCCTGACCATTAGGTCCAGTCGTGGCCGACTCTGGGATTGTGGCACTCATCTCGCTTTATTGGCCGAGGGAGCCAGCGTACAGCTTCCAGGTCATGTGGCCAGCATGAGTAAGCCGCTTCTGGCGAACCAGAGCAGCACACAGAAATGCCGTTTACCTTCCCGCCGGAGCGGTACCTATTTATCTACTTGCACTTTGATGTGCTTTCGAACTGCTAGGTGGGCAGGAGCTGGGACCGAGCAACAGGAGCTCACCCCGTCGTGGGGATTCAAACCGCCGACCTTCTGATCGGCAAGCCCAAGGCTCTGTGGTTTAACCCACAGCGCCACCTGCGTCCCTGCCAGGCGCTGTAGACAGTACTAAATTGGATGGACTAGCAGTCTGACTCTGTATAAGGCAGCTTGTTCTGTTCCTTGAAAAAATAAAAATTGCCGGCCTCTCACAACTGTGGGAAATGGCTTTTGCTGCAGAGAACTTGATTTTCGAAAGAAGACCAGGCCAACTCTACAATCCTATGATTCTCTTGCCCGTCCTCCCTTTTGGTATTAGCCAGTTCCCAGTGAAAACAGCAAGTCTATTGAGCCCCTGGATCCGATGTGATGTGGCGCATTTGGCTGGATGAGGATTGCCGGTTGTGTAAGCACGAATTTAAATTGCTCGTGGGTTTGTGGTGCTTTAGAAATAACGAGTGACGTACAAGATTAGTCGTACTTGGAGCTAGACCCATTGAAATGAATGGAGTTAAGTAAGTTTAGTTTATTGATTTGGGTGGTCTGACTTAGCTGGATATCATGCAAGTGTCTGTTTGGGCTCATATTATTTAGCAGTATCTTCCCTTTGTTTAAGCCTTTCATAGTTAAATGGAATTTTCCCGTATAAACATATGGAAATTAAATGTGTTAAATATGCTTTGCCTGTTACCTTTTATTTGTCTCTTGCAAATATTATCAAATAGTTTGCTGGAAAGATTTGCAAAAAATAAAAATAAAAATTGTCACTTCCTTTGCATACTCTGGGTTGTAGACAATGCCAGCCCTACTCAGAGTAGATGCATTGGAATTAATGGATGTTGCTAACTTCAGTTCAGTACAACTTGGTTAGGTATAACGCTTGGTGTTCGCTAAGAGCTAATAGTGTTCTAACAGTGTGATGCTATGCACACGCACATACCTGGGAATAAGTCTGGTTGAAAGCAGTGAGCTTTACTTCTGAGTAGTGATACCTAAGATTGTGCTGGGTGAACTTTGTGGTTCAGGGTCCATGTTTTCCCGTGCATTGTTAAAAGTTCTATGGATCAAAAATATGGTAGAATACGGAGGAGAGAGATACCTGTGCATATGGGGAGAAGGGGGTACAAGGACAGGAAAATGCTAGCAGGTGCAAAGGAAGGGCTTTAAAAATCATCATCATCATCATCATCATCATCATCATCATCATCTGCTCAAGCTGACCATTACAGTAGTACCTCGGGTTAAGTATTTAATTCATTCCAGAGGTCCATTCTTAACCTGAAACTGTTCTTAACCTGAAGCACCACTTTAGCTAATGGGGCCTCCTGCTGCCGCCACGCCACCGGAGCACGATTTCTGTTCTCATCCTGAAGCAAAGTTCTTAACCCCAGGTACTATTTCTGGGTTAGCGGAGTCTGTAACCTGAAGCGTATGTAACCCGAGGTACCACTGTATTTAGTTTGCAAGTCCTCTTGTCAGCTAAGAGAGTATTAGAGACTTTGAAATGGTGTAAGCCTCCTATATGGAACAGGCGAGTGTGTATGGAGAACAAATGCAGGAGAGCTGCAATGATAAAATTAAAACTCAGGGGATGGAGGAAGGTGGTGGCTGTTGTAATCTGGTTTGTGTTGGTGCTTAAATACGCGTGTCCCAAACTCACCCTTTTCACTGCTCTAGGATAACATTTTGGTATAGCTACTTTGCTTTTTCCTTCTTCCTCAGATCCTACCCCAAAGTGTTTCTCCCCCAACCCTCTGCCTTCATCTCTCTGCAATCTCTCCCCCTGGAGTCTGGAGGGAAGGCTAAGGACTCTTCAAAACGAAACCTTGAGTTCCTCTCTGACTCACGGCTCCCAGCCGCTGAATGCAAATCTTCTTTCACAAACTGCGCAGCCGAACAGTGTGATCGATAAACTGCTTAATGCCGCCACAGCAACAGCGGTTTTAAATTGAAGTTACCTGCCAGACCCACAAGGGCAGCTTATGAGGGAGGACAGTATATGGGTCCCATTTTCCCCTGTAAAAAGGTGAGGGTCAAACCAACAGCTACAACATGGGAGTGCAAGCAAGGCTGTGTGGTGATCAGGATCTGATACATTTTAATTGTATTGGTTTAAGTGGAAACACTAGAGTAGAAGCCTTTTTTTATGAAGTATCAGTTGGCAGTAATAGCAATAGGAATAATAAAGATATAGCAGTCCATCCGCTGAGGTTTTCTCCTAAGTAAATGCTACTTAAGTTTATTTATATGCTGATTTCCCACAAGCATTCAGTAGGACTCGTTGTTCCAAATAAGTGCGCAACAGATTGTATTTTGACTGTGGGATCCTATACATGTCTACTCAAAGGTAGATTTAATTGAGTCCCATGTAGCTTTCTTCATGCTAAATGGATTTAGGATTGCAACCTGAACAAGTTTACACTGAAATTGCGCTCGTCTTCTCTGCCTGGAAAGTTTGCTTGATGGATATAAAATTATGTAAAATGAGAAGGGTAGAGTGACTAGAGAAGAAGAAAAACCAACATTTTGTATATTGTTGTGGTTCAGGATTTCTGAAACTTGTAACAAAGATTAAAGAATACATTCCAAAGATTTGTAAATACTTGAAAGATTCGCCTGTAAAATAATGTTTAACTTGGGTATTGTTCGTTGCAGTGATGGGAAATCTGATCTGTTATATGCAACTGGTAGGAGCTGTATATAATTTCATTAAACCCTTTTTAATGGAAAACTGGATTCTGTTCAGGAGCAGAAAGTCGCTGTTGAGTTCCAAATTATACGTGGTTATTTATATAGATAATTGCTATACTGCTGTTTGCGCAGACAAAAATAATTTTAAAAATCATAAATTAACACATGTAGCAAATCACTAAAGAATATTTACTGATAGCAAGAGCAGGACTAATCAGTGTCTCCTCCTTCAAAAGCATGCTGGAAACAATGTGTCAACCAGCCACCTGAAACCATAAAGAGGTTGGGCCCCCCCAGACCCAGGTCCTACCTTAGAAGGAAGTTCAAACACAAGGAGCCACCACTGGAAAGGCCATGCCCCATGCCTTCATGCCATGTTCATCATACTGAGGAGGAATCCTCAGAAGGGCCTCATGAACTGAAGGCAGAATTCAGCTGAAGCTGAACATTCAAGTCTTACAAATTTCACTTGAGAGTAAAGCAGAATGTCAAAGCTCTCCAACTGGAATTTTCTGCTTTGGCTGGTGTTTTCAAAGTTTCTATATAGTCCTATACACATTTATCTGAAAATAAACCTTGAACTTAACGGGATTAGACATGCATAGTATTGTTCTTTTCTAAGTTACTTTGTAATATCAGTTAAACATCTAAATTTTTAATTTTGGGAAAATCTTCCTAAAACACATGAAAACAATTTCCTGTTAAATATGAAGCCCATGCTGTGATGTGATATCTGGGAATGTGGAAGAAACTCAGTCCAATCTGCAATTAAATGCAAACCTACCTAATTTGCACTTTTCTGAAACAGCCGTCCTTCAAAATTTGTATTGCAAAAATGCATATATTAAGCAGAATTGCATGCAAACATCTACATTGGGGGGGGGGCTGCACTAAAATGATGAATTTTCATGAAGACTTTTTAAAAAAAGAAAAATTGCAAACTGATGTGGAAAATTGAATTTAAGACTGGAAAAATGAAGTGGTAGCATTCTCCAGTAAGAGAAATGCTCTCTTTACTTGCACTGGGGCAGAAGTGTGACCTTTGACTTGGCTTTCCAGACCAACACACTTGAGACATATATTGCATAAAGCAGGGGTCAGCAAACTTTTTCAGCAGGGGGCTGGTCCACTGTCCCTCAGACCTTGTGGGAGGCCGGACTCTATTTTTTTGGGGGGGGGGGATGAATGAATTCCTATGCCCCACAAATAATCCAGAGATGCATTTTCAATAAAAGCACACATTCTACTCATGTAAAAATACGCTGATTCCTGGACCGTCCGTGGGCCGGATTTAGAAGGCAATTTTGCCAGATCCGCCCCCTGGGCCTTAGTTTGCCTAGCCATGGTGTAAAGAGATTGTTGTTGTTTAGTCGTTTAGTCGTGTCCGATTCTTTGTGACCCCATGGACCAGAGCACGCCAATCACTCCTGTCTTCCACTGCGTCCTGCAGTTTGGTCAAACTCATGCTGGTAGCTTCGAGAACAAGAAGCTCTCGAAGTAAAGAGATTAGATTGCAGTAATCTACGTAGTTTTTGAATGGAAGCAATGATTTTACTCTCTTTTCTCTCCAAAAGTTTGCTAAGTGAAAGTGAGAAGCGTCCCTTTGTCGAAGAAGCCGAGCGCTTGCGAGTCCAGCACAAGAAGGACCACCCAGACTATAAATATCAGCCACGCAGGAGGAAAAGCGTCAAGGCAGGCCAAAGCGATTCTGATTCGGGAGCCGAACTGAGTCATCACAGTGGGAACCAGATCTACAAAGCAGACACTGGTCTGGGATCCATGAGCGAAACTCACCACCACAGTGACCACGCAGGTAAGGAAAGGGGAGGGCGACAGATTTATAATGGGAAACACCGAGAGGGCTGCAAAAGTCTCTCAAGGTGTAATTGTTCACAATGTATAACAGTGTAACAACTTATAGACACAATGCTAAAATGTAGTATATATTTAATAAATGAAAGGGCGTGTGCCATTTCACCCTTTTTCAAATGCTCTTCCCAGTTGCCAAGCAATTAAGTCACAACTACCGCATACATTTAAAGCAAATAGCTTTTCTAAAAGAATCCTGGGAACTGTAGCTTAAGCGGACTGGCAATTGTAACCCTCAGAAGGGTATTCTACAGTTCCCAGGATTATTGGGGAGGGAGTGCCTTGACCTTTCAGAGCGGTAGCGCAGTGCAGTGCTTTCAGTGTCTGGTGTGGCTGTGTCCTTGGAGAAAACAGCATCTATATGCAATGACAGGGCAGTTTCTTTAAAAGGGAAGGGATCTAGCTACGGGTTAGAGCATCATCTTTGGTTCAATCCCCAGCATCATCAGATTGGACCAGGAACCTTTTGGGTAATATTTGGGCTCACCTGTTCCCCCTTTGCCAGTGAACAAGGGGAGAACCCAGCCCATTGCCCACTCTTACTTCTGCACTCCTGTCTCTTGCCCAACACTTCCTTGCAAAAAAAAAAAAACAAAACCCCACAGGGTTTCCCTTCACAGCTATCCGTTCTTTGCTTCTGTTCCTACTTAGTGGCGCCGTCGGTGCAGCTCTTTGAGCAAATATCCAGGGTGCCTCTTGGCAGAATGAGAAGGAGGGTCCCACAAGGCAGCAAAGTGAGACGTGATCACATTTTGAAGTCAGTGAGCATCAAAAGAGCCTGTCTGCTGGATCAGGATGAAGGAGGCCCATCTAGTCCAGCATCCTGGTCTCACAGTGGCCAACCAGGTGTCCCACTGGGAAGCCATCTGCAAGGATGGGGAACCTGGAGACCTCCAGATGTTATTGGATTCCAACTCTCATTGTCCCAGGGCTGTCAGATATTTTTGCTGAAAACCATCAGTCATCACAAAAATTACAAATAGTTACATTGCGAAGTACGTTTTCGCATCAGTGGTTATGCATTAAAATCTCCTGTGGTATGTTGGGCTGCTAAGACAGGCACAGAAGCCTTGCATAATTTTCTCCCATTTATCAGCAGGCAACATATTTTTTTCCCATAATATTCGGAACAGGGAAACTCTCTGAAAAATTCCTTGGAGAAATCACTTCCTGGAGAATTGTGTGGGGAGCGATAAAATTCTCACTGAAGAATAGTTTCCACCTCTTCCTGGCTGCAAGTAACATCAGTGCTGATGGATAGATATTCTAGCATGTCTCCCATCTAAATACGGAGGAGACATAGTTTGAAATCTCAAGGTTGTGGGTGCCTTCCGTGTTGCATCAACCAATAATTAAACAGAAATAATCTGGAAGGCCATAATCAAATTTCACAGAATAATAATAAATTAAGTTGCATAGTTTGGAGATGATTCTATTGGCTTAGGTTGGTGGGAGCTGGAGTGTGACATCTGGGAAGATGGGAAAGTTTGCCCACCCTAATCTAAAGCCCCCCCCAAATCCAGCATCTAAAATTACTCAACCATACCACTGCCCACTCCAGACTTAATCATGTATTAAATATCTACCCTGCCTTTCCAAAGGAGCCCAGGGTGACAAACATCAAAATGTTAAAACAATACACAAACCTACTTAAAATGTGTAAAAGCCAGCTAATTTTTTTCCAAAGCAATTAAAGAAAAACATTTCAAAACATTTAGAACATCTAAAAGTGTTTCAAAGTGATCACATACCCTCAAAGTTACTGGCCAGTATATGTCAGCCATCGGATGCCTGGGTAATACGGAGCATCAGAGCTTACCCCAGAAATCTTGTCTCGATGCTGAGCCCAGGGAAGTGTGCTTGTTCTCCCATTTGGAGGAGTGTGTGTGCCTCCATATCTATGGAGAACTTTTACATGTGACTGCCCCATTCATTGCAGTGAAAGAAAAAGACGACCACAAACCAGCGTAACTGCATTTCAGCATCCGCATTCCATGCAAGGCCCACTCCTTTGCATCGCTACTTAAAGAGGGTCTTTGGTAGCAAGGAGAAATTTTAGATCAGCAAAATGGGGGAGAAGGTTGACGTTTGGCAGTCCCAACTCAAGCCTTCACTACAACTGCTTTTAAGCTAAGGCAAGAGATCAGATTGTGGATCTCTAATTTGTCTGGCTTGACCCCTCAGTCAACCAGCTAACCCCCTCGATTGGAGCTGTACACCCAAACATCTGCAGGGTACCATATTGGGGCACTGGTTGGTATAGACCAGAGTGGGGAACCTCCAGATGTTTCTGAACTCCCAAGATTCTGTGTGATCCCTGTTTTCCATTGGGTCCGATGTTGGCGCTAAGGGACCACTAACCCAAGACGCTTGAAATGGCTTGTTCTGAACAGTGCTCACATGGCTTGAAATGTTCTTTGTCTCCAGGGCAGACCCACGGGCCCCCTACCCCGCCCACCACCCCCAAGACGGACCTCCACCACGGGGGCAAGCAGGAGATGAAGCACGAGGGGCGCCGCCTAGTTGAGAGTGGCCGGCAGAACATCGATTTCAGCAACGTCGACATCTCTGAGCTGAGCAGCGAGGTGATAAACAACATGGAGACCTTTGACGTCCACGAGTTTGACCAGTACTTGCCGCTCAACGGCCACTCTGCCATGCCGCCTGACCACGGGCAGAACTCTGCGGCAGGGTCTTACGGGCCCGCCTACCCCCATCCGACTGGCGGCAGTGGGGCTGGAGCCCCCCAGGTTTGGACTCACAAGAGCCCTCCTGCCACCTCGCCTCCCTCCAACGAAAGTGGGCAGCAGAGGCCCCACATCAAGACAGAGCAGCTGAGCCCTAGCCACTACAGTGAGCAGTCCCACAGCTCCCCGACTCACTCCGACTACGGCTCCTACACTGCCCAGGCGTGCGCCACTACTGTGTCCTCGGCCACGGCCACAGCCTCTTTCTCCAGTTCCCAGTGCGACTACACAGATCTCCAAAGCTCCAACTACTACAACCCATACCCTGGCTACGCTTCCAGCCTCTATCAGTACCCATACTTCCACTCCTCGCGCCGGCCGTATGCCACCCCGATCCTCAACAGCTTGTCCATCCCTCCCTCGCACAGCCCCACCGCGAACTGGGACCAGCCGGTCTACACAACTCTGACAAGGCCTTGAGAAGGACGGAAGGAGTTGTTGAAGACCTGAGGTCTTCCCTGGACCCCCTCCCCCCCCCAAAAAGTATGCACTACACAAGTTCAGAAATGGAATGAAGAAGGCGCAGCCCGTGAAAGGAGCACCCCCATTTTCCCGTCCCAAGTGCCTCCTGTTCTTCTGTAATGACTTGGCCATCTGCTCCAAAACCCTTTTGAAAAGTTTCCAGAAGACAAGAGTTCTATTTTCTTTATTAATAATAATAATAATTAATAATAATTAATAAAGCATCTGGACTGATGGTTTCCTTTGAATACATGAAGGACAGTATATTCTAACTCCTCTGTGAGGACTTAAAAGAGAAGTGCCACAATTCGTACGCAGGACAGTGCAAAGTTAACAAGGAGACAACAAAGGCATTCCGGGGTCTATTGCAATGTGAGGATGAGTCGGCCTTGGCGCACAGAACCCACCTAGATTTTAAAAATCCTAATCATTTAATAATATTGAGGGACCACTCGAGAATCTTTTGGGACCTACCAACCAACTAATGTCAGAATTCCTTTGATTTGTAATCAAGAGTTCTTCTAAGCAAGGTTTGGCTGTAATTAACATTTTTGTTCAGAAGCTTAAAAAAAGTATGTTAAGCTCAGAAAAAAGTGTCTTTTTGTCATTGTTTTGGGGTAAATCTGTTAAATATGTATTTATGTTCTGTGTAATTTTGTCTTTTTTTAATTAATGAAGTAATTCTGTGCAAGAAGTAGATTTTTTTTTTTAAAGAGATTTTAAGGAGCATAAACTAGTGGAGAAAATATGGTTTTCCTGCTCCTTAAAAAGAAGGTGGTGCTGTGCTTTGGTTCAGCCAGTCTTAAAAGCAAATCTGAAATGCTTCTCAAAATAATTAAAGTGGTTATGGAAGGATATTATGGAAGGGAAGTGATGGATTAGTTTTCAGGGGGAGCAGGGAGAAAAAGAATCCTTACTGATGGTATTTCCATATAATTTGTTGAGGAGTTATTATAACATTAATACTAAGTTATAAATAACATATATTTACTTCTGACCATGCCGGGCCAGAAATGAGGTCCATCAAGTCTAGGATTCTATTAATGAAAGAAACTAGCCAGCTGCTGCTGGGAGCTGATAAAACAACGATCTCAAGGTCCTGCCTGTGGGATTCCTCCTAAACACCTATTCTTGGGTTGGACTCGATGACCCTAAGGTCCCTTCTACAGTTCTATGATTCTAATTAACAGGTAGACTTTTTCTGATTATGGTGCTTCTCTTTTGCCATTGGGGCTTATAGTCCCTGAGAGCTCCAGCCCTCCATGAATTGGTCGCTATCTTTTCCTGTCCCCCAAAAGCCACTGAGGCTCACGGCAGTACCCTCTCCACCTCATGAGGTTGAGAATCCTAAAAAGGCAATTATCGGTTGTATGAAGGAACACTGAGCCTATTGCCAATGGGATCCAAAGGAAGGTAACCCTCTCCCCAAGGTCCAGTATTATGTGAGAGGGAGGCAAACTCCATAGGACTGGTCCTGGAATGATCAACAATTGTTTCTCGAGAGTCTCTTAAAACAAAAATATTGACAGGGTTTAACCAGTTCCTAGTTATGGTTTTTCATGCCTATTCCTTCCTGGAAATGGTTAAAAACAGGCCAAATGTTAATTTGGAAGAGCTCCCTTCTCTCTTCAGCGAGGCTACTTCAGCATGAATGTGGAAAAAGGAAAATGGCAATAAGCATACCCTCCCCATGCCAGTTAGTTTCAACACATTAAATTAAATTTGAAGGCATCATTGGATTTTGGGACTGTGCTGGGAGCACAGCTCGTTCTTGAGAAATTACATTTTAAGCAGAAGTTACGGATTGAGTTTCACTTTAATGTTGCCTATTTAGGGACCAGATGTCATCCTTCAAAGCTGTGAAAATAAAAACGTTCTCCACTATATTTTGGCTAGTTTTTTTAGATGTAGACTAATATTTCGTTGATGTTTTGTTCCATTGTATGCTGAGCATATAATAACCATCCAACTCTAATGGTAACATTGTGCCTTTTAAAAGAAAACTTTATAAATCTTTAAAACTTTCAGAGGTTATCTTATCTTTTCTACGTTTTCATATTCTTGGGGTTTTTTGTTTTTGTTTCCGTTTTGCTGAAAGGTGTTTCTTCTTTCTTTCTTTCTTTCTTTTTTGCATATTGCCTTTTGGGAATTTGGGGGGAGGCGGGAGAACAAAGTGGGGAGGGTCAGCAGCGGCTCCTTATGCAATCTATTTTTCTGTAAAGTTTGAAGGTCGTCTGTTGTTATCTGTTCTGTTCACTAGCTTTTGACTAAGTACTGCTAACTTTTGTACAGGTCCATTTGATAAAATTAAAAAAAAAATGCCTTTTATCCAGCAGTCGCTGATATATTCATTGAAAAAAGATATCTGTTTGTGCATGGGACGTTCCCATGGGAATAGGGAATGAAAGTCTGTTCTTACCCCCCCCCAAGCACTGTGGGGTGCTCTTTCCATTTAAATGGGGTGCAAGGTAACCCTTGGGTGACAGGGCTGTCTTCTGAGGGTGCTCATTGGGTCATAGATTGACACTAAGGTTTAATTGCCATTTCTGGCATATATTCCAGATTGCGCTTTTAAAAAATTAAGAGCGCTTGGACTTAATGTTGGGTTTCGAATCTCAAAGGGAAGCCACCCAGTTACCTATTTTTGTAACAGTTGAGGTGCATCAAACCATGGCTGGGGGACTGCTGGCCCAGCCACACAGCTGCTGGAGTCCAGATTGCATCGGCCAGTACAGTCGGTGCTCAGGGATGATAGAAATTGTAGCCCAACAGCACCCCCAAGGGTGGTGGGTTCCCTGTCCCTGCCTGAACCCTTCTCAGACATTCAGAAAAGTGGCTGGTGGATCTATGGGCAGGGAGGATTCACCCCCAACACACCTGCGTTCATTACAAGAGGGGTTCTCAAACTGGTCCACGAGCATCACTCAGGGTGTCCTTGGCATGGCTGTATTAAATACTTCCATTGTTTTGTTGATACTTTTTATTGCTTCTCTTATTTCTCACATTGTAAGTTAATTGTATTGCAAATTTAATTCCACGGGCTGCAAATCGTACTACCATATACAAAATAAAAAGAAGCAATAGAAAACCATAGAGCTGCTAGCACACTGCATTAGAGTTGCTGCAGCAGGCAGAGAAATCATGCAGGGGTCCACCAGAACCTTCAGCAATTTCCCAAGTGTTCTAATGGGGGAAGTTTGGGAAGCACTGCATTAGAACATTTACATTGTCCATGGATTTGGAACTCCTGGAAAGGGGCTTGTGTTACACAGTCCTATTTAATGCTCTACACCAGGAATGGGGAACCTGTGACTTTCTGCATGTTTCCGGAGTACAGCTCCCATCATCCTGGCCCTGGCATCTGGCCATCCTAGCAGGGGCTGATGGGAGTTGGAGGGCCACATCTTCCTCCAGTGTGGTATAGTGGTTAAGAGCTGTAGACTCATAATCTGGTGAACCAGGTTCGCGACTCCGCTCCTCCACATGCAGCTGCTGGGTGACCTTGGGCTAGTCACACTTCTTTGAAGTCTCTCAGCCCCACTCACCTCAAAGTGTGTTTGTTGTGGGGGAGGAAGGGAAAGGAGAATGTTAGCTGCTTTGAGACTCCTTAAAGGGAGTGAAAGGCGGGATATCAAATCCAAACTCCTCTTCTCCTTCTCCTCCTCCCTGCTTTCCAGCAGTAGAGATCATCACCTGCCAGCCTTGGAACTAGAGTCAGTTTGTTGTGTACTCATGCGCATGCCTGTCCTCTCCCACATGCACACAATTCTTGCATTTTTTAAAAAGTGTGCTTTTTAATACACATTTGGAGGTGCTTTTTTTAAAAAGCCAAAAATGCCAACATGTGCAGAATCCAAAGGATAGCTGTGCTCTAATCCACATGCATTGCAGTTGGTAGGACTATGCAACCCTTTCGGTCCCTTCCATTTCTACAATTTCTAATCCAGGAAGTGTGAATCGGGTTGGTTTCCTTAAAAATGCAGTGATGCTTAAAGGATTCTGCTCTGGCTATGTGGACTACAGCATGCAGCTTCTGAAGCCCCTCTGCCTAGTGTCCCTGGTGGTCTTCCTATAAACAGCCCATCTTTTGATCACTGTGTCACTCAAGAGAATCAACAAGTCTCCATATCTCTTCCTTGGAAATGTATGGAGAATATGTGTCCTGAAAAGGAAAGGCCCAATGCCAGTCTGCTTTTAGGGCAGGGTTGGCTAGGTTGATGTCCACCAGTGTCCTTAGAGTAACACTCAGTCTTGGCCACCATGGTCAATTGTCATGAATGATGGGAGTTGTGGGTCTAACAAGATCTGCAGGACTATAGGTTTGCCACCCCTGCTCAAGGAAGAATGATTTGGTCCTTAGATTTTGTCTGCATCCCATCTTGATGAACCTCGTACTTCTAAGCAGGTGTGTTTCATGCCTGTTCAAGAAGCCAGGAGTTCTCCCACTGCTCAGAATCTCCAAGCAGGGTTAAGAAAGACCTCTGTCTGCACCAGTGTAGACCAAGCACAGGGAATCTGGCCCTCCAGATGTTGCTGGACTATAGATCCAAACATCCCCCAACTAGTGGCCATACTGCCAAGGCTGATGGGAGTTGTAGACCACAGGGTCACCATCCCTTGTGTATGCTGAGCTAGATGTACCAATGTTCTGACTTGGTGTAGCTTCCCATATTCCTATGGGTAAGTAAGTCTGAAACCTTGGAGAGCTGTTCCAAGTCAGTATTAAAAGGTAAATAGGTAAGTGACCCCTGGACGGTTAAGTCCAGTCAAAAAGGACTATGGGGTGTGGTGCTCATCTCGCTTCAGGCCAAGACAATCGACATTTGTCCACAGACAGCTTTCAGGATCATGTGGCCAGCATGACTAAACTGCTTCTGGCACAACGGAACACTGTGACGGAAGCCAAAGCGCATGGAAACGCCATTTACCTTCCCGGCATAGTGGTATCTATTTATCTACTTGCACTGGTGTGCTTTTGAACTGCTAGGTTGGCAGAAGCTGGGACAGAGCAACAGGAGCTCACCCCATCACATGGTCCTTCCAATCAGCAAGCCCAAGAGGCTCAGTGGTTCACACCACAGTACTTCCTGCGTCCCTGCATCAGTGTAGACAGTGGTGAGCTAGATGGTCTGACTCTGCATCCTTATTCACTAGGCTCCAAATGTATCAAAACCCACTTGGTCTGCCAAAGCGTCACCAAATTCCACCCCCATGATCAGGTGAAACCTGCCCCTGGTTCCACCCACCCACCCATAAAAAGAAAAAAGCTGGCAGCTGTGTGTGCTTTGAAGCAGCCTGCAGGTCTTAAGATGCAGACAATGGAGTGATTCTTATGTAGTTGTATGTCATGTCCCCTAAGGACATGTTGGGGAGTTTCCAGCATGGCTGGAACTGTTGCAAGAACGTAAGTAGAGTCTGGCTGCTGGATCAGGCCAAAGCGGGCCCACCTACTCTAGCATCCTGTCCTCACAGTGGTCAAACAGATGTCCCAAAGGGAAGAAGCCCACAAGCAGGACCAGAGTTCAATGGCAGCCACACCCTTTCAGATCTTTACCTATCCCAGGCGATTAGAACCGCAGAGAGCAAGTGGGGGAGCAGGGTTCAAATCCCATTTGGCCACAAAGCTCACTGGGTGACCTTGGGCCCGTCAGAGTCTCTCAGCCTACACTACTTCACAGGGTTGTTGTGAAGATCAAACCAAGGGAGAACCATGTATGCCATATTGAGCTCCTTGGAGGAAACATGGCATATAAATATAATAATAATAATAATAATGAAAGAAGGATTGTTGTGCTGGATCAAGCCAGTGTCTTATCTAGTCCAGCATCCTGTTCTCACACTGGCCAACCAGAGGGCTTCATGGGTAGTCCACAATCGGAACCTGGGTACAACAGCAACTCTCCAATCCTGCACTTTCCAACAACTGGTATTCATAAGCATTTCTGCCTTTGACTGTGGAGGCAGAGAATGGCCATCTTGGCTAGCAGCCATTGATGGCCTTCTCCTCCATTAATTTGTCTCATCCTCTTGTAAAGCCATCCAAGCTGGGGACCATCACTGCTGATGATGGCACATGGGTCCACCAACTTGTTGACGTTCAGGAAGTTTGGTGAATACCTGGAGGCTCTTTGGGAACCTGTGGTTCCATGACAAAAGAAAGGTAGGGATATAAATGCAAGAAAAGTAGCCGGAAGAAGGGTGAGATAGAATTCTCGAAAGAAGAAACAGGAAGGGAGGCAGACCTATGCTCTGCCCTACATGTTACTGGGCACCCTAACGACTGGCCATACATGACTGGAGCTGATGGATATCCCAAGAACTTTGGGAGGGCCACTTATTACCAAAGCTTGTTCTATACAATCTCAATAACTTGAAATGAGCATGCTGCTCTTGACTCCACAGACTTTCTGTAATTGGTCTGTGGACTGTACACACACAATAAAACTGATTGATTAGGTAGGGGAAAACTTCAGGCTTCCTGTTGGGGGCTGCAAGACCTGGGATTAACTTTGGTCTCCAGATGGCCAACAGTAAATAAAAAAGTGGTTAATAACTTTGGTGAGCTGTAGTAGGTGTCGTCAGGGGCTGGCTCTGGGGCACTGTGGGAAATTAAAGTTCCCAGCTCCCAGAACCATCTGCTTTTTAAAATGTCCAGGGATGCAAAGGAAGCTGCTTACAGTGGTTCTATCAGTGAGATAACAAGGCTTGTTGATGTTTGAGGCAAAGCGGCCCACGTGGTCTCTCCCCACCTACTTCCTCAAGGAACATCTTACTCAGGGCCTATCAAATTATTTTGTCACTCAAGGCTGTAAGATGTAAGATGGTGTCAAATTCTGTTCCAAATTGCATCCGTCACCTGCACCTCTCCTGCAGTTTGGCTCCTGACAAAAATGACGTCATTCGTCTGGCTGTCCACTGCGGCGGAAGGTTAGACGATTAATTAGGTAACTTGTCACATGATTATTACATCATCCCACACAATTCATATGAGGGTTAGTGGCGGGCAGAATCTTCTCAAAGCAGGGCCTGGGTAAGATGGCCCCAGAGCCAACAAAGAGGCTATGGAGGAAGCTGTCACCAGGGCACAGAGAGTGGGGCAGTGGAGCCACCTCACATGAGGTGAAGCAAGCTTTGCACTTGTCCCATTCTATATTGTCAGGCAATGGCTCTCTGGGGTTTAAGAAAGGAGGTCTCTCTCAGCCCTTTCTGCATGCAAATATTGGGTAATACTGTGTGGGGAGATGGTGGATTTTGTGTCATTGGACATTGCAGTTCACTTGCAGGTTTATTTATTTATTTTCCATAGTTATATAGAAAGAGAGGAGGGC